CCCCCCCCCGTTGCCAGAGATGTCCTCCACCAGCCTGGCCTTCGACAAGGAGGTGTTCAGCTCCTGCTTCGAGGGCAGGGTGCCGGTGCTCTTTCACTTCCAGGATTCGACGGAGCCTGTCTTCGTACGCGCGCACCTCTCCTCGCCTCCTCGCCTGCTGTCTTCGCCGCCTCCTCGCCCGCCGCGAGCGCCCAGCCTCACCCTGCCGCCCCCGCCCACAGCACCTCATCCCCCGGAACACCTACCTCTCGCTCTATGTGGAGCCGCTGCTGCAGCGCCTGGCCTCCCCCGCCGAGGATGGGACCGTGCCGGTGCTGGAGCGCCAGCATGTGCACTTCGAGCACAATGGCACCCAGTTGCCACTGGGCTGGCCGGTGGGCGTTCTCTTTGACCTCCTCTGCCGGCCCTTCCCCGGGGATGCCGGCTTGAACGTCGGGGCGTCGGTGCCCAATTTCAAGCTCCCCTTCCTGGTGACAGTCCTCTATGACACGGCCCAGAGCAAGGAGTCCACCTTCTTCCTGACACAGCGCCCGCTCGAGGCCACCATCAAGCTGGAGGACGCCACCCTGCACCACTGGCAGTTCTCCTGCAAGATGGCCGAGCACTTCGCCTACGGTGCCACGGAGGTCTTCTTCAAGCTGCCGGATTCCGTATCGCGCCAGGCCTTCGGCGCTCTGAAGGACGGTGCGTCCAGCGAGGCCGCCATCGCGTGCCCCCGTCGTGCCCCCACGCGCGCATGTGCTTACATCTGTCCCCCCCCCGATGTCCTCCACCAGCCTGTTGCCCGCTCCTCCCTCCCCCCCCCCCTCCCCCGGTTGCTGGGCTCTCTTGGCCCCTGGTGAACCCAGTCTCCAGCAAGGATTACCTGGGGGTCATGCAGCAGTTCTTCGACCGGCCCTCCCATGAGGCGCCCTCCTTTCTCCCCTTCCGCCTGTATGTGAGCAAGAGCATGTCTTGCATCACCCTGCCCGTGAAGCCGACCCTCGAGGATGCCGGCCGCGCCACCACCCTGGGGGAATACATCACCGCGGTGGCCCCTTCGGAAGCGGCGAAGCTCAACACCAGTGCGTTCGCGAGCCGCTGCCATGCGGCGCTGCTTGACGCTGAGCACACGCGCCCTGCATTATCTAACATCCCCGCCCTGCTTTTGCCGTCACTCCCCCCCCCCCTCCCTCCCTCCTCCCCTCCCTGTCGCCTTTGCCTCTGCACTCGCCGTGGCACCCTTCATCCGGACAGAGTTGATCGCCCTCATTCATGGCATCAGGGTTCCCCTGTCGACCCCGTGCCTGTGGCTCATGGTCAACATGTGCCACGCCGACATGTTTGTGCATGTTGTTCTTAGACACATCTGATGCACATGGCCCTGTGGCTCTT